GCGCGCGCGGCGCCCCGCGCCCTCCGAGGCTCCGTCGCCGCTCTGCGATTCTGCGGCCGCCGGGGCTCCGTCGCCGCTCTGCGATTCTGCGGCTGCGGGGGCTCCATCACTGCCCTCGGATTGCGCGGCCGCGCGGTGACACCTGCGAGAGAGCGCCCGAGGCGCTGAGTCGGCGTCGGGCGTCGCGCGCGGGAGGAGTCGGCACGGACAGCTGAGCCTCCGGGCCGCCAGCCGCGCGCCGCCGGGGGCAGGACTGGAGACGGTGTTTGGGACTGGACTGCACCGAAAAGGAAAAGGAAAGGGAAACTGACCGAGGTAAACACCGCCAGGGCCCGGGGCGGGGCGGGCCTCGCGGGAAACGAAACCGAGCGTTTCTGACGCGACTGAACCGAAACTGATAGTAGAAGCGGCACTGGATCGGTGCCAGGAGTCGCGGAGGCAGCCAGATCAAACAGGTCGCTGGCCGGGGCCGGGTGTGCGGGGTGGCTGAAGAAGGGTTCTCGTGCCCGCGGGCGGGGCCGCCTGAACCCCTGGAAGTGGGTGTCGGGAAACACCTGGGCTCCATCAGGCCTCGGCGCCCCACCACCACCACCTGCAACAACTATCCCCGAAGCTGTTCTGGCATCCCAGGAGCTGGTGTCCGCCCCAGGCTCAAGCCAGAGTGGCAGAGCACAGTGCTTGGCAGGAAGAAAGTAGTAAAGAAGCAGGCGACTACCACAGGTCTTGCAGTCTCTTCTATCTTACCCAGGCTATTCAGGGTGGAAAGCCCTTACATGCTTAAATCCTAGTGATTTTGGATCTAGCATCGCACCATAGAGCAGTTTAGTGGCAGACACTCTAAACCCAGCTACCTCTGAGGAAGCCATACCTGTGACCACATGAGGCTTTGTGGTGGGGAACATTCAGACAAAAGCCATTACAAACATGTATTCTGTTATGTTGTGTCAGTCTTCCTATTGGTATTGCTAAGTGGCATGCTAGGATATGGATATAGTGCCATTTATCCATTCACCAAATGATGCTGTCTTAGTCCTTTCTTATCTTTGGCTATGGTGAATAAAATGTGTATGTAAATATTATGCGTAAACCATTAAGGTAACAAATGCTTTCATTTGTTTGGGTCAAATACTAGTAGTCAATTGCTGTGACTTGTGAGTGTCCCTCTTTGTAAGATACTGCCAGACTCTCCCTAAGTGCTGTGGCATTTTGTATTCACTCCATCAACTTACGTGAGTTCCAGTCACTACGCTTTTGTTGATAATTGATATTGTCAGTCTTTTTAATTATTTTGAGTGTAATGGTTTTTAATTTGCATTTTTTCTAATAACTAATGAGAATGAGCATCTTTTCCTGTATTTATTTTTTGCCATCATTATTATTACTTTTTTTGTGTGAAATGGAGTTTCAGGCTTTTGAGTCCCAAAGAGACTCTTTCCAGGTTCTTGGTGTCCTGAACAAAGAACCACAGAAGACACACAGAAAAGGGAGGAAGGTTTTACATTTGCTGAAGGTTGAGAAGTGTGCTGTGCAAATTGAGAGTTGGCTGGTGGAAAGGGCTCACAGTGGTGATGAGTTAGGGAGGGGAGTCTTTTGTGTCTGGAATTGACTTTTTTTCATGTAAATAAACCATTTGGAATGGTTGTCCCATGAGCAACAAACCTGGCCTGGTGTCAGATTTAAGCTGTTGTATTAAAGGCTTGTTTGGTTTTGTCTTTGATGGAAATGAATTGAAGAAAGCACTTTCTGATTGGTTCTGTGCAGTCTTTGGGAACTTCACTCATCTTGGAGTCATCTGTGTTTTGTAACGGGTCCTGGAACTCATGACTTTGATGGGTTATGCCCTCTTGTTTGACTCGCCTTGCCCAGACCTTATTCTCCTACTTAGTGGCTATTCAGATATTTTGCTCTCTTGTTAATACCACAGTTTGCTTTATTACTTAAGGTTTTATACTATGTTGTTAATTAGATATATATATATTTTTTTGTCTGAATGAGAAACTTAAATTGTTTTGTTTTCAAGAAAAAGTCTAATCTGAATGGTAAACTACTAGTAGACAAAATTGCCTACTTGTTTGCAGAAGTAACTAAGGTCAGGGATCTGAAACGGTCCCTAAATGAAAGGCATAACCAGTCAATGAAGTATGGCTTCATTATGCTGATTGGAAAAGTGCTAGCAGTTAGGAAGTTGCATATCTGAAGTTTAATCATTTGCTTTTAAACTCACAAAATGAGGCTGGGGAGATGGTTCAGCAGAATAAGTGCTTGACTGGCAAGGACAATGTCCTGAGTTCAATCCCTGTACCACCAAAAAAAAAAAAAAAAAAAGTTTGAGAGGTGTGGGCCGAGGGTCAGAGCGTCTAGGAAGATTGTACTCCCCCCATCATATTCAGCCAGGAGCATCGCGGACCTGCACACTAGAGGTTAAATTACTTGCTGTCACTGCCTGGTATGCCTGCCTGCTTTTTATGCTGGCACCTGCTTTTGCAAGACGGAGAAGTCTCACTTTTATTGTATTGTCCCAATCTTTGGGCTCAATTGACCTTTGCAGATAATCAAAGGTGAGGGGGGCTATTCCCTGCAGTTTGAAATTGTTGTTACAACTTACCTTTTTATTTCTGTGTATTGTCTTAATTTTTAGGTTTTTATGCCATTCACATAACTTTATATAGTTCATGCCTTTTTTACAACTTAAGAAATGTTTGCTAACCATGAGGTTGTAAGATCTTCTCATTGATCTTCAAAAAGTTTCATAAGTTTAAGTTGCTGTAGGGCCGAGGAGATGGCTCAGTAGAATAAGCACTTCTCTGGCAAGCGTGAGGATTTGAGTTCAATCCCCAGTTCCCCCCCCCCAAAAAAAAAAATTAAGTTGCTAGAGTTCAAATGAATTACTCTTTCATTGTAAGGAAAGGATAGAATTTTTTTCTCTTTTCTACAGATGTCTGGTTTTTCAACTTACCTATCTTCCTTGAATGTGCTTGACATCTTTATAAAAATTCAGTTGGACGTACATAATTGAACTGATTTCTAGATTTTTTTTCTTTTTCTTTTCTTTTTTTTGGTGGACCTGGGAATTGAACTCAGGCCCTTGCGCTTTCCAGGGAAGTACTTATTCTAGTGAACCATCTCCCCAGCCCCTAGATTTTTTTTCTACCTAACTATTTTTGTCTTTACTCCATTACTATGTTGTCTTATTTACAGTACATTCAAAATAACTCTCATAAATGAATTCATACAGCTATTACAGCATTGTCCTTTTTTCAAAGTCCTTATGGCTGTTCTAACCCTTTTGTATTCCTGTCTATACTTTAGAAGTGTAACCCAAGAAGGAGACAATGAGGCAAAACATCCAAAGAGATGGTAGCGCTTTATTTTAGCTGGTACCCAGCAGCACCCTCAGAGTCCAAGAGACAGAGAGGAGCCCCGGGTAAGGGGAGGCACAGTAATTTAAACCCAAAAAACGCAAAACCACCCATCCAAGCAAGCCGATCACAGAAGCCAATAGCAGATGTTAATGTGGTTAAGGGGGCACATGACCTTTTACAGGATTGGTTGTAGCCCACCTGGAGGAAGCTGCACACAGAGGAGTTACCCCTTTGGACTAGGTGGAATACAGAACAGAATGTGTAATCTAGGTATGCGGTCATGCTGACCTTATAAGGACAATGTGGCCGACTGGTTGCCAGGAACACCTGTTTTGCCTTAAGACATTCTCGGAACCAGGGCAGGGGTGAATCAGAGAACCAAGATGGAGTTACTAATGTCAGGGTATAACACGCCCTGAAGGGAGTGGGCTTAAGAAACAAAAGTCACATTTTACAGTAGCTGACATGGTTTACTAAGATGGCGCAGAACAGGATGGCGGCACTTTGGTCAGGCTATAACAAGAAGGAGTTCATCGGTGTCTACAAATGGACGGCTGAGATTTTGATTGAGATTACTATTCTCTTAGGAAAGAAGTAACAGAAGGGAACTTCATATTCTAGCAGGTGCAAGGGAATATTGACAAGCTGCTTTAGTGGGTGAATACATAATATCTTTATCCATTAAATTAAAGCTTCTTTAATTTCTTTCAACAGTATCTTATAGTGCTGGATGTACAGTCATATATTCTTCTTAAAACAGTCCTTAGGGGGCTGGGGAGATGGTTCAGTAGAATAAGCGCTTCCCTGGCAAACGCAAGGGCCTGAGTTCAATCCCCAGTTCTGAAAAAAAAAAAGCTATAAAACAGTCCTTAGGTAGTTATTTTTTTATATCACAAGTGATATTTTTCAGGTACCAATTTATGATTGTGGTCAGAACATAGAAATACAATTAATTTTTATAGGCCCAAGACTTTATTTACAGGGCAGTGAATGCAGAACTTCGTGTATTTTAGTCAGGTATTCTTAGTCCAAGCCTATTTCTGCTTTTCTGTTGGTAAATGGTACTTTTCAATTTCAGTTTATGATTTTGGTATGTAGACATAAAATTAATTTTTATATATTGATTTTAAATCCTGAGACTTTTCTATATTTGCTTAGTTTCTTTTTTTTGTAGATCCTTTAGAATCTTCTACGTAGATGAAAGTGTAGCCTAAAAGTAAGAATTTTACTCCTTTTGTAATCTGTATGTCTTTTCTTTGCTCTCTTACATGTATTCTTATTCCTATTTGTACTTCTAGGTTGCATAGCAGAGATGAGAGACCCTTTGGCTCTTTATCAGCATTAGTAGGTATTTATGGCTTATTTCTAGATGTCCCCCAAATCCTCCTACACTCATAAACTGGCTGACTTTAGGGTGTGTGATACTGGGATTGAGGGTATGCATTGATTGGAATTAGCATTAGTTGTGGGTATAACTGAATGCATTTATTGAAGACAAAAGCTACATCCTGGGTGGGGGTGGCACCACCCAAAAGGCTTGTAGTCTGGAAAGGTTAAGAGGGAAAGGCAGGCTCCCTGCTGTGGCTTGCTGCCTTCTGCTTGCCACACCAGAGACTCCTTTGCCATGCCCTTCTGCTGTGCTGTCCTGGCTTGATGCCTTCCAACTGAAGGCTCTACAAACTTTAAGCTAAAATAAACCTTTCTGGGGCCAGAGGAGATGGCTCAGTAGAATAAGAGCTTCCTTGGCAAGTGCAAGGGTCTGAGTTCAATCCCTGGTTCCACCAAAAAAAATAATAATA